ATATATATATATATATATATATATATATAAGAGAAGCGTGTCGGCGCGTTCGTGGTGTTTCTCCTTTCTACGCAGAGACCCCGGTCCTACAACGTACGAAAGAGGAGGAGAAACAAAAGAGGTACACAAGCGTGGCAAGGAGCCGCTGGAAGAGGGAAGAAAGAAATATGCGCCGACACACACACACACACACGACACTCGCGTCCATTTACCGCATGAAGCGCAAAAGAGGAGATAGAACCTTTCGAGGTCCCCATCGCCGCTACGTTTCGCAGGAGAAGAAGAAAAAAGAAAAGTGTATAAACAAAAACCGAAACAGTAATAATGACTAAAGAAACAGAAACATGAGAGAGCATGAAGCGAGGCGTCGCGGTATTCAGCACGGGAGAAAGGAAAGGAGCCTGAAAAGAGCTTGAAAAGAGAGACAGTGAGAAAGAAGGAAATTCGCATCAATGCGCAAAGGAAAAGGGAAAAACAAGCATGGGGAGGGTTTGGACTGCTGAGCACACCGCTCCGTGTGGCTTAGATGTTTGCGTTTTCCTCCTTTCTAAGTGCACGTGGCTTTTTTGTGAGTGGGTTACCACGGCGCACGGCATCCTCTGCTCCCACTTCTCCAACCCCGCCAAGTTCTCCTTTCACCGCCTCGTGCAACCCCCACACACAACGGTGTGTGTGCCTGTGAGTTTGTGTGGGGGTGACGCACATCACGCGTCAGGGTACTGCCGCCGTCTTACTGCCCCTCTTCCCACGGGAACTTCTCGCCCTCTGGATCCTTCACCACCATAGCGCGGGCCGACGTCGTCACCACCTTGCCTGTGTCTGCATCCACACCGATCAGGGTTGGGATCGACTCGACGCTGAAGTGCTTCGTCAGCTCCTGCACCACCGACGACTGCGCAAACGGCACCGCCAGCCACGGCATCTTCGCGTAGTAGCCCGAGTACCCATCCTCCTCCTCGTCCCACGTGCAGAAGATCACCTCGAAGTTCTTCTTCTCGTGGAACTTGTCGTAGAACTCGATCAGCTGCGGCGTGAACCCGCGGCACGGCGGGCACCAGCTCGCGGAGAAGTAGAAGAACACGAGCTTGCCAGACAGCGACTTCACGTCCACCTCACTGTCGCCGCGGCGCAGCTTCTGGATGTTCGGCAGGTACTTGTCAAGTCCGGACATGGCGCGTGTTGGTGCAATGAAAATAATAATAATAGGAATTAAAATGTGTTTTTCTCAGACGTTTGAAGCTTGTGTAGAGGCCAGGTAGCGCAAGGTAGCGGTTGTTCCTTCGCGGGATTGGGATCGTCCAGCGTGGTCATATCAGCGTTTGCACGAGAGGCAGATATCAACGGAGAAACAGGCGAGAGGAAAACAAGGTGAAAGAGGAGCGTTAGAGATTATTTAATTTTAAAATAAACTGCTTCAGCTCAGCAGCCTGGAAGCAGCAAGTGCGTGCGTGGTGACTGGCATCACCACCACCACCGCCACGGGCACGCGAACAGCCCTCAAAGAGGCCAAGAAGATAGGATAGAGTCGGAGCACACAACAGGCACAACGCGTCCCTCTCTCAAAGCAGCTCGATAGGTCATCGACAGGTGATCAGAGAAAAGGGGGAAAAAAGGTGAAGAGAGCTGCGCGTCAGCTCACACACACGTAAAACACACTTTCTTGTGGGTTTTTTCTGGAAGGGTGTGTAGTTAAGCCTGTGTACTTCTCCATGCGTTTTATATATAATTTGCGCGTTCTCGGGTAGAGAGATTTAATAAACGGAGGAGTGCAAGACCTCCATCGCTGAACAAAAAGGTATGTAAGTCAACCGGAAACGGACGAAAGAAAGACGAAGAAAAAGCTGCACCACGCGCAAGAAGTGGGCCGAAAGAACAAAAAGGTTTCCGTACGTATAAACACAAGAGCAACGTGGAAACGTGCGAATGCCAGCTGAGGGGCAGGAGAGGGTATACGGCACCCCCTGTAAACAGAGCGCAGCGAGACCGAGGTATAAAGAGATTTATTGCGAAGGGATCAACGAGTTTTCAATTGAAAGGAAAACAAAAGGTTCTTAGTTAAACGTTTTCTTTGTGCTCGTCAAGCGGTGCGCATTATTATTTCTGCTCCGCGTCCGGCCAGGGGAACTCCTTCGCCTCTGGGTCCTTCACCACCATAGTGCGAGCCTGTGTGGTGATGATCTTGCCGCTGTCCGCGTCCACACCCACCAACGTTGGAATCGACTTGACGTTGAAGCCGGTGGTGAGGAACTCCATTCCTTTGCGGTCCTCGAAGGGTAGCGCGAGCCACGGCATCTTCTCGTAGTACTCTTTGAAGTCCTCTGCCGCCTCATCCCACGAGACGAGCATCACCTCGAAGTTCTTCTTTTCAGCGTGGGCTTTGTAGAAGTCGATCAGCTGCGGCGTGAACCCGCGGCACGGCGGACACCAGCTCGCGGAAAAGTAGAAGAACACAAGCTTGCCAGACAAGGTTGGAAGGGTAACGTTCGCCGTCGTGCCCTTCAGCAGGTTGGTACTGTACGGAAAGAACTTCTTCAGCCCCGACATGTTCGCAACAGAATCCCTGTACAGGAAGTGAAGGGAGTGATACATACACAGTGGCAGACCGGCAATAGGCGCAGGTGTTTCGGGAGGAAACACAGAAGGCGGTGGGAGATGGGGAGACACAAAAGAGAGGGGTTTGCGCTAAGGGTGACAACGGTATTTTTTTTTTTTTAAGGAAAAATAAAAAGAACGCGACGTCAATCAACTCTGTCGTCGACACCGAATTTCCGTCGTGAAAAAAAAAAGAAGGCGCCGGTCTTTGCTTCCCAAAAATATCCCTGCAACACCACGAAGAAGCAGAAAGACGAATTAATAATACGAATGCAGCAAATAATAGTAACACCACACGCAACGAAAAGAGGAAAAGAAAAATACGGGCGTGTATATATATATATATATATATATTTATAGGGACAGGTAAGAGGAAAAAGATGCTGGAAATCAAAGACAGCCCGATCTAGTATACGAATACTACGTAAAGAGATAAGTCATACACCATGTCAGCTACCAGACGCGATCAATAAAAGGAAAACGACGGTGATAGAGCAAAAACGGTATTATTGCTCTTGCTCGATTTCAAGAAAGGAAGAGAGCGCCAAGAGAGCAGAAAAAAAAACGAATTCGAGTTGTATGATAGAATTGAAGTGCGTGTACCTTAAAACAACGTGTGAACTGTGAATAAAGAACCAGAAAAAAACCCTGTTTAGAAGGTATATATATATATCTGTATACGACGAGGGGTAGTGGTGATGGAAGAGAGAAGTTTTAAACGTGGCGGAGACCCTCTTCACGTGCGAATTGATGTGTGTGTCGCGAAAAGGGGGAAAAACAAAGAAGGAAGTTTGTTTTTGTTTTGTAGATAAAAATGGAAGAAGAAGACGGGCCAAGGCAGAAGAGCGCGATAAATGCGAAGTACAGCAAGAACAGCGCAACACTGCTTCAGATGTGCTGTGGACAAAGGGCCAATGCCGATCCACACATATATTTTTTTTACGGCTAAGGGAGAACTCGACGCAGCACGCAGCCGCAGTGCGGTGGAGTGGGAGAAGGCTCAGCCCCAAAATCGTTCTTCTGTTAGCACCGACTGTACGATGACGCACAGATCGGCGCGGTGTGGCGCACGGAGTACTCTACCGGAAAGGGCTGAGCAGACCCCTAGCCTTACCCCCTCCCCGACAAGTTGTGCCCTCTCTCTCTCTCTCTCTGCAGCTGAGAGAAGTTGTTGTGCGTTGTTCCGCGTGATGGGCACATAAACTGGAAGAGAAAAACTCACTTCGCCTGTTCTCGTCGGGCTCCATTTTCTTTTTTACTTCTTTATCAGTGGTGTTGATAAGTACGTGAAAAGAAAAGTACTCCTTGGCAAACAGCAGACAGCACTGATATCTCTTATGAAACACGCCAACATAATAACAATAATAATAGTATGGAATAAAATAAAATAGGTGTATTGCGTGTTTGAAGACGGGTGCGGCTAAACACGCACAGACGAACGAAGGGAAGGGCGATCTCCAAAAGGTGTAATCACTTGAACCGGAAATGACTTGGTGTTCCTCTTCTCGTCCTTGCTCCTCTACTCCTCTCTGTGTTGGGTTTTCTGTTTCTCTCTTGCGCTGTTCTCTGCTCACGACGCCTGCGGTGAGACGCGATGGTGGTCAATCAGACGTATGAACGGCAAGCAGCAAATGCACGAAGACTCTCTCTAAAGAAAATAAAAAAGAAATCAAAAACGGTTTCGCCCTTTGTGGTAAGAAATCGGAGAAGGAGGAAAAAATAGAAATATATATATAAGAGCCACAAAGAGAAGAATTTCTTTTTTACTTATTTATAGAGGGCTACTTCATGCGAAGGGTTTTAGGGCAGCTGTAGTGAGTACTTCGCAGCGCAGATACACACCAGAAACGAAATACCGCAAACGAATGAAAAGGTGAAAGGTACGTGCTGGATGTCGTGCTCCGGAGCAACAGCGTAAATTAGTGGAGCAGCAACAAACACAAAAAAGAACACGTGCTAGCTGTAGCCCGTCCCCTAGGGCGGTCAATGCCAAAGCGTTCTCTTCTTGCGCCTAAAACCCCTAACAAGGAAGAAAAAAGAACCAAAAACAGGGTCTTTCTTTTGATAAAGAAACGAGAAGTACAAGGAAAAAAAAGAGGGGGTAAAAATCAGCAAGCGGAAAGGACAGATGAGGACGCAGCCACATCAGTGAAACAGTCGACGTAAATAAAAGGCTGGTGGGGGGGGAGGTTGCTTTTTGAGCTGTTGCCCACCTAACCTCGCGGTTAGCTCTTCCTTTGGGGAGGATATCGAGACCTGATAAGAGCTTCACAACAACACACAAAGAAAAAAAAGGTCCTTTATCCTCTGCCTGACCGCTTACTTTGCCATTACTTTACGCCTCTGCTTCGAGTTCAAAGCAGCATCTCCGAACATATATATTTTAAGCATTAAACGAAAAGATAAGATAACGTCCCTCATACATACACAAGCATGTGTGTGTGCATGTATCCACTCCTTTACAATGACCATCTTCGTTTATAAGCGACCCCATATGTAACAGATGCCGCAAGTAATTATTGGAGTAGTAATAGAGGAGACAAGCATGACATCAGCCGAATAGATTCACAAGCGCCTCGTACAGCAAATACGGAAAAACACTTTCGTGTTTCTTCTTCTTTAGAACCCCCATATATAATAATAGACCCCAACAATGAGCAGAAAAACCAGCAGAATGCACTCCCGCTTGCCATCTGGCCTTCTCCCCATGGAGCCTTCCGCAAACCGCCATGGAAAGTTCTTCGCCTCGGGGTCTTTGAGCACCATAGCCTTGCCCTCTCGGGTCACCGTGCAGCTCGTGTCCACAGCGACGACCACCAGCTTTGGGATGGACACCACGGAGTAGGCGCGAGCGAGGGAGCGAGCCACGTCGGTTTCTTTGAACGGGAGCGCCAACCAGTTTCCGTGGCCGTTTGCCTTGGGAGTGCGCGTGACCCCGGTGGCTGTGCGTAATTTCAAATTGTCCAACGGGAAGTCGTTGAGCTCCGCCGTCGCGTTCACCAACGGCGAGCACGAAGGCGTTGTTTTCTTGCTGCACGACGCGATGTCGCAACCCATGAGCGTACAATTATCCCCCGGTAACGGCTCCGGCAACGCAGCGGTGGCTGATACGGCAGCCGGGCCGTTGCTGCTCGTGTTGGTGTCCCCGTTGCTGTCGAGCGGTGGTGGCCGTCGCACGTAGTTGCTGCTGCGATTCTGGAAAAAGTCCATCATCCGCCCCTCCTCTCTGTCCGAGGAGACGAAGAGCACCTCAAAGCCGTACTTGTCCTTGTGCTCGTCGTAGAAGTCGGCGAGCAGCGGAGTGAAGCGCTGGCACGGCGGGCACCAGTGCGCGGAGAAGTAGATTAACACGTACTTCTTGCCCTCGAAGGCCTTCGAGGCAGGCACGGTGCTTCCATCCTGCCGCAGGAGCTGCAGGTCGGGAAAGTGAGAAAGAAAGGGTACGTCGCGGTGACCGAGCGGCATTGTCGATGCAGCCGTGACCACGGTGTGGGGGACGAAGAGAAAAAAAGGAGCAGCAAATATGTATATAAATATGTGCCGCTTGGGACCGTCAGCAGTTCGATTGGGCGATGCCCTACTTGGTTATGAAGGTACTCTTATTGATTGGGGTGTACGTTGGCGAGGGATGTAGACGGCACCTGCCCTGCCCTCCCTTTCGTCTGTTTGGCTTGGTTTGCGGAGAGGTGTGAGCGGCTTCCACGAGGCAGACGCCAATGAAAGAGGGTAGAACAAGAAAAGAAAAAGACAGAAGAGAAATATTCAAAAGAAAAAATTGGACACGAGAGAGAGAGAGAACAGAAGAAAAGATGACCGAAGAAGTTTGAATTCACGTAAGCAGAAGGAGAGAAGGGAAAAAGCAAAGGATGCGAAGAAAGACGGGGAAAGGCGCACCAACGCACCCTTGACACCGCCCACAATGCGTCGCACGCAGCGAGACTTCCCTGCGCTGTTCCGTTCAACTTGCACTGCGTTCGCAGGAAGAGAGAAAAAAAAAAGAATGCAAAAGGAGAACACCCTCTACAATCCCTTATCTTCAATGAATTCTTCCCGCAGTTGGCAGACCACGTGGAAAGGACGGTTTCACGCCACCTTTGCTGAGACGCAAAGAACGAGGGGGGAAGAAGAAGGAAAAGGGGAAGGGATGCAATAAGCAACAATGGTGTGGCAATATATATATGTAAGATATTTACGAAGAAGAAAGGAAAGAAAAGTAGATAGATAGATACGGTATACGTAGCTGAGAAGCGCAACAATGCGGCTACCTGGAGAGAATGTTTGAATGAGCGCGAATGCATCCGGTTCAACGTGCGACAGAGAAGGAACGCGGCGCACGTGCGAGTGTAGCAGAGAAACGAGAGAGGGTTAAAAACACAAACCAAAGGTGAGGAGGTGCATTAGAAAAGAGAGAGAGAGAGAGAGCAGATTTAGCTCTTCAAGCATCCCGTTCAATGCGATGAAACGTGGCTACAACGAGTTGGAAGAGCACGGGGAAGAAGAGCGATTGCAAAGAGCATGCCATCGACTCGGTCAAGGCAAATACGTAAGCTTAACCCGAGGAGCGATGGGCATCAAAAGCACCGGCTGTTTCTTGCGTTGCTGTCGTGTGCCTGATTGACAAACAATGCGCATTTTCAAAGGAATTAATCAGATATTCTCTTTTTCCAGAAATAGAAAACGACTCGTTTAGGAATAGGGAAGAGCGAAAAAAAAAAGGCAGTTCTGCTTCATCTGTCGTTCACGCCGCCTTCATCTCGCCGATTTAACTACGACGCCCGCTGCTCTGGATGGCCGTTGCACAAGAGTGTTTCGTTAAAAGTATTACTTTTTACTATTTGGGGGGCTCTCCTCTGCAGTTTGGCTTTAAATTGAAGTTACTCAGCACTGTCAGCTCGTTTCATCTCTCTTCGGCGCTATTCTGTTTTTCATGGAAGAAACATCTTTTGTCTTCTTGAAAAAATGGCGCTTCGACGATCACGCTGCGGCCGCCCTGGACCTCGTTGCGTGCTTCATGCGGATCAAAGCCGGCAGCAGCACACCCAACACCACCACCGTGACCGCAATCACAATACCGAAGAAGAAAAGCGCCGCCACGCGCACCTGCGAGGCCATGTGTGCCCAGGGGAAGTTCTCCGCCTCTGGGTCCTCCGTCTCGATCATGAACCGACCGGCAATAGTCACCACGTCGGGGTAGCACGCGCGCTGTGCCACCACTGGCGTTTTTTCACGGTGCCGCGGGGCATTGGCCACGTCCATCTGGCCGGAGCCACCGTTTTGGGGCGGGTGGGAGATGAGGGGCAGCGGCTGCGGCGTGACGGAGGCAGCCAAGGGCCGGTTGCGGCACACGACCACGCCGGGGTAGGAGAAAACGCGCAGGTGGTAGAGAAGGGGAACGCCGATGGTGCCGACGTGCTCGTAGGGCACCGCCCACATGCCGCCGCCACCCCCCGCGCGGGGTCCCAGCGGATTGAAGAGGGAAGTCGCGGTGGTGGTGGAGAGGGAGGAGAGGGAACCGCTGAAGCTGTTGGTGGCCGTGCCAGGCGTCAGCTCTGCAACACGCTTCAGCGGCGGGGGAAATGAGGAAGGGAACGAGGACAAGGAGACTGGCGCGGCTGCCACGGCAGCTGAACAGCCATTGGCGCTGTCGTCTCTAGCGACTTGGTAGTTTGACTTGTTCTCTTTTCTATGCGCCCCCCTCCCTCTAGTGTTGTCTTGCGTAGAGAGGCTAGCCGGTAGAGGGGAGTTGCGGTGGCGCTCTTCCGTGCTCTCCTGACGCTGCAGCCGGTCTGCGTCAGTGATGGCGCGCTCCTTGAAAAAGAAGCCCCGCGTCATTTCAGCTTTGTTGCAGTCGCGTGAGATGTAAATGACTTCGAAGCTCTTCGCCTTGTGGTGACGCTCGTAGAACTGCTCGAGCAGCGGAAAGAACTTTTCCGTATCCCCGCTCCACGACGCACCGAAGAGCAGCACCACGTACGGCACATCGCGCAGCACGTCCACGACGAGGCGTGTCGTGCCGTCCTGCCGCACCAGCTCAAGGTTCGACCATTGGCCAAAGTAGTTCATTACGAAGACGACAGTTTTGTTGTTGTTGTTTTTGTTGTTGGTGTTGCTTTTCTCGGCGTGTGTCGCAGGAGTGCCGAAGGGAGCTCTGATCACGTCGGCTGGAGTTTGCGTTGCGGTGTGCTGGAATCTGATCTGCTTCTATCTGGCCTTCGAAATAAACCAGTCAGTAAAAAATGAGCGCGTCCACTGAGAGCAAAATATATATATATATATATACAAAAGGGTACAGAAAATTTTTTTAAGAACCAAAATACGGTGTAGTGCTGAGAATGGGGTTGCACACGCACACACACACACAGAGATGCACACAAGAACGCGAGTACAAAACAAATATGATAAATCACAGTGGCGTAAATAATTCTCTAGGCCGCGACCGACACCTCACGATGTGCGCTCTACAATCCGCCGCGGTTGGAGAAGTGACTTGCGATTGCTTGCTTGCTGAATATGAAGAGAAAAGATGCTCCTAGAAAGGAAAAGGAAAGAGGCGGCAAGAAGAGTAGAGGTTGAAAGTAATTCACTCAGACAACAGAGAAGAGAGCCATTGTCTCTTTCCCTTTTCAACTTCCAAGACTACGCGGCGAACGCTCAGGCCAAACTTGATGGTCCGCCGACACTGCTGTTACACCGCCGCTATTCGGTCGTCTAAAAGCCACGTCGCTTCATAAAAAAAAAGGAAGCGAAAACGCGAGATGTATTTCTATTCCTTGTCTTCACCAAGGTGAAGGGCAAAAAAGAATAAGCTTATGAGACGCCGGCGAGACGTCTCCCGTCCTCGAAGGAAACCCTTGCGGTTCCAACGCATGTATGTTCTCTCTTTCCATTTATATATGTCGAAGAATGAGGTACTCTGTCATCACATCTCTTTTCAAAGGCAAGTTGGAAAAAAAGAAAAGAAAGAGGGAAGCGTTTTGTGCGTGACACCGCATTATCGCACTAAGCGACCTTCACAGAAGCATTGTTTTTGAACCGTTTTCGTCACCCTGAAACAGAAATCGCGACGTGTAATAATAATAATAATAATAATAAAGAATTAGAATAAAAATAAGCAGAAGAAAAGGAAGGCCTAGTGAAATGAAATATGGAGAGACGCACGGTCTGCGCTTTCCTAAGGCGTCTCTGCCTCCTTGAGGTTTGACGCGCGTGCTATTTTTGTTTTGTCTTGTCTGCATGGTGCATTCTACGCAGCTCCACCGCGGCATGGCACAAAAAGGAAAGCAGCTAAACCGCGTCGAAGGAATGCATAAGCCAGCTCCACTTTGTCCTTTGAGTTTCTTTTTTGAGAAAGCAAAACTATTTAAACCCCACACCATAAAGGAAAAAGAAAAAACACTGATGGCTCGGGGGATATATATATTTTTTTAAGGTGATTGAAACGTAACTCGTCTTACTTCTGAAGAGGAAAAAAAGGGGGGTTGTTTTGTTCTGAAACGCTCTGAGCGGCGACGGAAGAATTCGTCGTGTCGCGCCACCACTTCGTTCCCCCACTGCGTCGTTCATGCAGAGGATAAAAGACAAAGGGATGGAAAAGGGGGAGACGAGGCGTAGCCGTAGCGTGTAGGCAACCTTTCCATACACCACACTTTTGTGTATGTGTTTCTACTCTACCAGTTCTCTCCCTCTTTTCCCATATCAGCTCCTACGGCGTTGAAAGAGAAGAGAAACACGCAAGCGGTACGAATGGATTCTTAAAGAGGGCGGCAAACACTCTGAAAAAAAAAGACAACAGAGAGAGGAGGAGGAGGGAGGGAGGGGGAACGGCACTAATGCACGTCTTTTAATTGAAGAGAATAGCGCAATTTTACGCGGAAGAAAGAAAAAAAAGTCACGCCCTCAAAAAGTGTCGCGCTTTTTGCGTTCTGCAGCTTCGATGTCGTATGGTCGGTAACAACAGCTGGAACACTAAATGAATACATAACAATAATAATAATAATAAATTGGCTCTAAAGAAAAAGAAAGCAGCTTATCCTCATCTTGCTTTCTCTCTTGTCGAACTCCTGCCTAAACAGTGTGCAGGTAGGATGATGTGTAAAACGGAAAGATCAGCTGCATTCGATGTGCTACAAGAGCATATAGGGAAAAAAAAGTCCGGAAAGCCAATCCGTCTCCGAGTTGGTGTTTCTTCACAGGAGCAGGGATTTTTGTTTTTCAAGTTATATATATTGTTCTACGCACCAAGACGGAGAAGCCCAGGCGAAAGCAAACGTAATCCAAGCCCAACGTGACTTGATGGCACTCGGTACGCTACGTGGAAAGAGGTAAAAAGCGGCACAGCTGAACTTCACGACAGGCTGAATTGAAAAAGCAACGCCTCGTTCAAACAACGCCGCGCGGGATGAGAGCGCCTACCCGCGTATTTGGGATGTCCTTTTTGTGTTACACCTCGTTGAACAGGTGGGGGGGGGGGGGGGGTGAAATGGTAATTGAAAAAGAAACGGAGAAAACTACCAGTTAAAATACCAGCAAATGCACGTGGAAAGTCCCGCTCAACAGAGGGACGGCGGGGCCTCCTGTTGGACACACGCCGTCTCTCTCTCTCCCTCTGTTGGACGGGTCCATTGCCACACACACACACACACACACACACACACACGGGTGAAAGAAACAAAGAGAAAACTTCCTATTCTTTTCACTTCATTCCAAGTAAAACAAAA